ATGATGATGATGGAGATTAGTCGATGATGATGATGATGATGGAAATTGCGATGATGATGATGGAGATTGCGATGATGATGATGGAGATGATGATGATGGAGATGATGATGATGGAGATGCTGCTGCTGATAATGATGATGATGATGGAGATTGCGATGATGATGATGGAAATTGCGATGATGATGATGGAGATTGCGATGAAGTTGATCTTGATGATGATTATGATGATGATAATGATGACCATAATCTTAATAATGGCTATGTTCTCTATGATGAGTACTCAGTTTGTGATGTTGTGACTTGCAGGTCACATTGAAAAGCATGGAGCTTGCGCTGATCCCCTCAGGAGTGATGTTGGCTGGGAGCATTTTCACTGTCCTCCTCCCCGAGCCACCACCGAAGATGATCGCACACGCCCTTCAGCATCTGGCAGCCGGCATCGTCCTCTGCGCCATCTCGACCGAGCTGGTCTCTTCGGTGCTGGTGGTAAAGGGGGGACATGCTGATGTTTGGATTTCAGATTCCACCCCTATCACAAGCTGACGACAGTCAGAGTATTATTGGATTGATCTTGGGGTTCTGTCTTGGGGTTGCAACAATGATTAGTCTGTCCATATTCTTGGAGGTCCTTTGAGTTATCTCCTGCCCTTCTGCCCCTCATTTCACGTCCCTTCAGCCAGACGAGGACGAGGAGGCGCCGATCTCAGAGCCGGAAGGGATCGATGAGCAGGTGGATGCAGGCGTATCGTGCTCTTCAACACTTAACCCGGGGTCCTAGGAGCCGCTGATGAGGAACTCGGACGCGGATTTCGTCAATGACGACGCTCCTCTGAATGATTACTCAGACCGCACGGCGGTGAGGGTTTGCGTCTCCTGTTTGCTCCATGCTTGACTCCGAAACGGTAGGGGGAGATGGAGCTCCGGTGTGTTGGGCGGGCGGCAGTCCCGCAAGGAAGGTGAGCAAAAGGCAGTGCGGGAGTGTGGAAGGAGGAGGAGGAGGAGGAGGTGAAGGGAGGAGGGGGGTGGAAGGAGGGAAAGAGGGAAGGTAGAGAGAGTAGAGGAGGTTGGGAAGGTGGACTCAATGTGTATTAGACCTCCGTCCAAGGAAGGGAGTGAAGATTCAAAGCACTCACGATCTTTGATCAACCAAGGTCAGATGGGAGCTTCCCATAATTCTCCTTCTGTTCAAGTCCTCGTCCTCTAGTCCTCTACATCTTCTCTCTTCTTTCTCAACTGTGCTTTTCTTTCTACTCGGCTTGTTTCCTGTGCGGCCAGGCATGACGATTCTACACAGCTCATAGGCTTGCAGAGGGCAGTGATGCTCCACGGCCCTTTCCTCTTCTGTTTGCAATGTGGGCGATAAGATCTAGTCTTCCTCGCCTGAAGTCTCCCAGGTGTGTCTACATCGACTCGGTCATGGACGGACTTCTAGTTGGGATCTCTCTCATAGCCGGCAAGAGGTATCACCTCTTGCCTCGCCTCATGCACAGCAACCTACTCAGCCAGTCAAAACTTCCTCAGCCTTCTGATTGGCATCCTCTTTCCTTCGTCCTTTTGCGAACTTGTTTTACAAACACCACCCTCCAATTCCCCCTTCCCTCTCTCCCGGTCCTCCTCCCCCTCACGCCTGCTGGCAGCGCGGGGCTCTTCATGGCGGTCGCTCTTTGTGTCGAGATGGGATTTCTCGGGCTCACCTTTGCGGTTTGAATTGCTGTGAAACTTTTCCTCTCCTCTCAACCCTCTCCCTTGCAGGCCGCGTGCACGGGGCAGCCGAAGTACAGGGCAGTCCCCGCGGTCGTAGCTGGTGCGCTGATTCTATGTTGCCCCGACTCCTCCCCCTTATCCCATCCCCGCTCCCTCCCCGGCCCTCGCTTCTTCCATTCTCTTTCCTCCCTTTTGTTGCCCTCCTTGTTCTCAACCTACTTGTTGGAGCATCTCGTGACTCGTTTCTTCATGGCAGGTCCTCTTTTCCTCATGTGTGGCTCTTGCATCGGCGGCCTGCTGGCCAACGCTCTAGCTGCTAACCTGGCGGCGCTGATAGCATGCACATCCTTCGGAGGTTGGCGAGTCGAGGTTCCTGCAATGCCATGACCGTCTGCTTGCAGTGGCAGCTCTGCTTTATATGGTGTGCGAAGAGCTTCTAGTCTCCGCACATGAGGAAGGGGACGAGCACGTTTGGTGGGTTGACCTTCAGGTGACTTCCCCCTTTTCCTCCCCTCCTCTCCTCCTCTCCTCCTCTCCTCCTCTGCTCTAACTGGCCTCAACGGCTTCGTCTCCTCCTTCAACCTTCACCTCCTTTATCATACCCTTCGCAATCAACCGCATCCTGACATTTGCGCGGAAGGTATTCGTGGGTTTTTTGCTGGCACTTCTGTTGGACAAGGCTGTTCAAAGGAAAGGCACATGACCTTACACTTAGTTACCTTGGCTTTCTTTCCGCTGCCTGCCGCACTCCGTATCCGCATCATGACCATCATCATCAGCCTGCTTACTATACGACAATTTCAGTTCGTCCCGTAGCCTGAGGGCCGGCGGCTGGCACACTTGCAGCTTGCAAAGTTAGTGAGCCCACGATGAGGCAAGTTACTCAGTGCATGAACTTGTCCGCGCTGCGGCGGCGGCCGGCTGACTGTCCGTCTGACGTCGGTCCCATTCCTGTACTCAAAGTGAAGTTAAAAATCAGTACGAGGACAATCAGGAGAGTCGAGGAGGCTTGACCCTGACCGTACAATGTCGCACAGGCCAAACGGCGAGAAGAGATCGGACGTCGGTAGTACCATGCCGGGCCGGGGTCTAGCCTGGGCTACCGGAAATTGAGGCGGGTCAGCCTCTAGTCGAGCCCCCTCAAGCAATATGGAAGGCGTTTGTCGAGTACCGGGTACTTCTAGGGATATCGTGCCTGACAAGAAGGGTAGGGGTACTGTCAGAACTGACGAAGGGTCATGTGTGATCTTCTGTTAAACGAGGCTGTCTCTTCGCAAAGACCCCTACCCCTAAATTTTATGTCATTTATACCGGTTCAATTAAGTCTTGATATTCCAGGGGTATGCCGTGCTCAGAGGGTGGTAAATAGTCATAGCAAGGGTACTATTATTCTAAAAAGGACGGGCTCAAAGGAGGTAAAGAGCTCTCGAGGGGGTAGGGTCATTACCATCGGGGGCGCGGGATGCAGACATCGGGGGCAAGACTGGCGAGTCTGCTGGAGGACAGGAAGCACAGTTTCACCTACGAGTACTTCCATGGAGTAAGATCCTTCTCTAGCGCCCTCTCCTCCCTGCCTCTTGCTGCGCTCGAACATGCACCGAGTTGTCAGCAGTGATGCTCTCCCCGCAAGTGACCCCTCAGATCCGTGTGTGTTGACAGGCCGTGATGCGACACATGTCTATGCCTCTCTGTTGCAAAGTGCTGGGGATAATCACTCTGTGGTAGTGTTGATTGTTTGCTCGTTTTCCTGTCTGCATGTTTGCACTTTGCAATGGGAATCTCCTTTGTGCTGCTGCCCTGTTGACATGTGTCTGCAGCCACAGCTCGCTCAGAAGCCTAGCGAGCATGACCGGGATATGTCCCACGTGGTGAAGTCAATTACCTACGGAGATCTCTGGGGAGGAAAGGATCAGAAGACAGCAATCAGCAGTGAGTTTCTTGTGTTTGATATGGTGTTGAGAATTTTGAAAGCCAACTTTGAATCAGGCGGACCTCCAAGCTGGTTGACTACTGCTTATGAAGGACTCGTTCACTTTCATTGATGAGTGGGATCGACGGCTCATTGTTTATCCTATGGGATTGTTGTTCTTTCAAACCGTCAACTGCTCATATCAGACAACAACAGCCATGTAAGCTCGATTTTGACGGGAGATTGTTGCTGGCGTTTAGCGATCGTTAGTGACACCCATGATTATTTTTCACAAAACAAAACCGCTTATCATTATTTTTCATGTGTTGGGATACCTTTACCCTTTCTTTTCGTTCCTTTCTATGCGTTGTAGGTCTGTTTCAAAGCACGGATTAGTTGGCGAATCGTTTTCCAGTTAAACATCTCCAATTAATGGACAACGCATCTGGTTGTCAGTTTTGCACTGGAGAACTTTGGGACAGCATAGTTGAGCACAAACATGAACGTTGCCGTGGCAACTTCATCGTTGTCGACTAACAACACTCATTTTCTTCTTGACTTCAACTCACCAGACTGAGATCATCATGATAGTAAGGTCACGGTAGATTAGTCACCTGTAACTGCATACTTAGTTCACATGCATGCTATGATACCAAACCGTGCAGTCACACCGCATTCACTGCATAGCTGAAAGTGCGTCCCCCCATCTCAGTCATGAAAATCACTGTCAGGCTCCCCGGCGGCGGGCGGCTGCAGTGGGCCGCGGCGCCGCGGCGCCGGGCCCTCCCGGCCTGCCCGAACTCGGAAGCCACCGTGACTGAGTAGCGGCCGTGCCACCGGCCGCTCAGCGCTCACAGAGTCAGCTGTCTGAGTCTTCAAAACTGGCACCGTCGCGGTGTGGCATTCGCGGCCGCCGGATGGGATCCGACTCGATCGGATCGGATCCGGCAGTGATCCGGGTAACACGCGTGACGGTCACGGCTAACTTACTAAGTTCACTGATCAGGGCACTGGCCCTGAGTGATCATCCGGCGGCGGCATGCTGCCCCCGTCACGTGATGCGGCAACTCAGAGCCTCGGAGTCTGACCGTGACGGTAGCCTACTGCCCGGCCTGCCAGTGGAACTTCGGAAGTTCGGCGGCCTGGGCGAGTGATCGGACGGCAGCCCCCACCTCAGTCCGTTCACCCGACACGGTCAGACTCCCGGACTCGGGAGGCCCGGCCGGAGGGCGGGCTGAGTGGCACACTGGCAGGCCGCGACTCGGACTGGCGGCCCGGCGGGCCGCCGGGATCGGACTCCGAGCTCTGACAATCATACCCGGTGACAAGGGCCGCCCGGCCGGCCCGGGCCCTCATCCCCATAGTTCCTACCGGCGTTCTCGCTCCAAGAGCCGCCGCAATGGCTGTGGCCAGGCAGTCAAACAGAGCAAGAGATACAAGTCGTCATGGCATAGGATGCCGCTACTTGTTCCCAACCTCCATGACAGAACACTGGCCATGCCATAGACGCTGACACGACCATTGATGAACGCAATCAGCCTAGGTTGACTAGAGCTAGCAGCTCAACACAAAGACCTTGATCAGAACCGCAGAGAGCAGACTGGTAGGATTGAAAGTCAGATCTACAAGACAGTGCCTCAGATCCGTTTGATGTGATGTCAGCAGATGCGAGAGTGTGTGTGTGCCAGTGGTCGTGTTGACGGCGTCTAAAGACGCAATTAGCAAATCCCTCAGCATTTTTTGAAAACGATTGCACTGACTGAGAGATTTATCTGATCGTAAATTTGATTTGAGAAATTCAGCGTGAGGTGATAATTTTGCGACTGAATCGTCTTTTTTTTCTCAGGCGCAGAGGGAAAATGCTGACGAAATATGAGGAAGCAGAAAATGAATATGATCTCCCAGCTCCAATGTAATGATCTTTGTCAATGACTCTTTGTCTTTGAATTAGAGACATATCACAATTTCTAGCTTCTGATCGCTGTCCTTCAGGTTTCCAGATATCAAGTCAGCAAAGGTGCACAAGGAGAAGAATGCCAAGTATCATTTCAGACTCACTCACAATGATTGCACTGACGCCGCTACCGGACAGGCCCCCGGGGTTGAAGCGACTAGACACCCTTGTCATCTTGACAGCAGAAGTTCTGATAATGATTGTCTACGGACTGTTTGTTCGCCAGGACCCAATTCCAAAACCGCCGTAACATGTGAGTGCTGCTTTTCAGGGTCTGACACGTCTACGTCTCAGATACCCTTCTCCTGGTCCAGGAGACAACCCTGGACTGATAGACTACGTTGAGCCGTTCAAGAGGTGATATGATTGTTGCTGCCGGTACATGCCTGACATGATGGGGATCAAGATATCCGCCGGGTTATGACAACTACAGCGGATCGCCGAGATCATCGCAGTTCAAACTCCAAGAGTATTACTCCTCTTTCATTCAGATTTCTTTCTTTGTCTTCTTGGCAATGCCCTGGTCTTTCTCCTTTCTGAGTGAGCTTGCTCCGTGAAAATCAGCAGATCTCTGACTTGAGCATGCAACAGGGAAGTTCTCCTATGCGTCTGCCACTTTTGCACTCTTCACTGCCTGCGTATCTATTCAATTTGGAACCGTGGTACGTGATGTATGATTCGCGGAGTCAACCAGTAAAGGATCTTGCTGCAGATGATGCAATTCGTGGATCGAGTTCATTGCGTTTTTCTCAAGAGTTTGCTCACAAGTCCACAATTTCCTATCTCCGATGCCATCCTTGCAAGGCTGGGATTGAAGGACTACCAGTACAAGTGAGTCAGGCTGAGGGATGCGTGAGGTTCGTGAGCTCAGTGTATGCTCGGCTCGACAGGTGTCAAATCCAAATCCCTCCTGTGGAAGTTCAAGATGACTTCGGCATGCGACAGCTGCGGCAGGGCTGTTACTGCAGTCAGAAGTGCTTGTCTGCGCTATACTTAGGCATTGATCTCTCGCTTTGTTATCAGGAATGTGGGACGAGATGTCTGCTAACAAGACTTTGATCACCTACATGCCCCTTGTTGCAGCTCAGACACTGCTGGTATGTCCTTGTACATCTGCACAAGAAGCTTGGTTTGGGCCATGATCTGAAGTAAAATGTTTCTTCGTATCAGGTTACAGGCCATCACAACTTCGACACTTTCAGGTGCGGTTTGTTCGTTCTTCAGTCTCGTATGATGCTCATTGCATTGCCAGTTTTGCGTTCAGTTTCCAAAACATCATCGATGGCATGTACGCTACTTTGCCTACACTGATCTCGTTCGGTAAGAGACTTAACTACAGCTACCTTGCAGTTGTCTGACTGCATGTAAATCTTTTGTTCAAATGCAGGAGTGCTTGTGGGAAAGATGGCACCAGCACAGAACGTGGTGTTGGTGATGTTTTGCGATTCTTCCCATGTTTCATCTCATCCTGACTGCTGCCATGGACAGGCATTCATGAACGTGCTTTTCTATGCCTTCAACTACTGGGTGTGCATCTACCTCATCGGAGCCTTCGACGGCACGGGAGGAGCAGTGACGACGCATGTCTTCGGAGCCTTCTTTGGAGCCGCCTGTGCTGCTGTAGCGACGCCTGAAGGAGCTGAGAGTGACCCGGACTCTCAAGGGAGATATCAATCCGAGATCCTTTCCTTGTTCGGCTCCCTCATGATGTGGGCCTACTACCCCAGCTACAACTCCTTCTACGCTCCTTCCACGACGCAGCAGACGGTGGCTGTCAACACTTACCTCGCGCTCCTCGGCAGCTCCATCGCGGGGCTCTCAGCGAGCGCGATCTTCAACGGCAACCTCAAGCTCACCGTCTTCGATGCGCAGCGCTCTTGTATCGCAGGGGGGGTCGCCATGGGCTCAGTGGCGAATTTGCTGGCGACGCCATGGCAGGTGCCTGGAGGGAACGCGGAGGTGCCGAGGTCCTTGCTGACTCGAGTGTTCTCGGCTGTAGGCCACGCTGATCGGAGCGTGCGGGGGGGTCGTCTGCTCCTTCTCGGGGCATTTCATTCGGCTCTTCTGCGTCGAGAGACTGGGTGAGTCAACAAGAGCAGCGGTAGCAGTTGAGGAGGAGGACAGGCAAGAGAAGGAAGGAGGGGACAGGAAGGAGAGGAAGGGGGCGATGGTGGTGGTGGTGGTGGGGGGTGAGCAGGGACAGGAGCACTAAAGGGAGGCACAGGGATTCACGATACGGTCGGGGTAATGTCCATGCACGGATTTCCTGGGCTCGTCGGGTGGCTCGCCGGGGTCTTCATGCTCCTTCCCCTCAACGACGACATCCTCAAAGGAGACCTGCAAAACAACGTGAGACTCTTTCTGTCCCCCCCCCCTCCCCCCCCTTCTTGCAGCCCAGCTGACTTGTCTCGGTCAGTACTTGACGTATGAAGTCCCTTGGTCCGCCGTGCTGCAGCACAGAAATGGAAATGGCGATGCTGCTTTCTATCAGGCAAGAGCCTGCACCTGCTTCTCCTGCTCCTCTTCTTCCACATCCTCCTCCTCCCCCCCTCCCTCTTCCCTCGCAACCTTGTCCTCTTGTCTGCTTCTCCTCTTCTCTCCTTGATTCTTCCTCTCTTCTCCTCTTCTTCTCCCGAATGACTGGAAGCGCAGGCTGTCATAGCTCCGATGACTATCAGCATCGCGCTGGTAGGAAGCTTCTCTGTCGCTCTTGTGTCTGCGAGCTGAGACCTTGCTGCTCGTTACAGGTCACCGGAATGATTGCTGGCACCATAGCCAACAAAGTTACCACGATAGAGAAGCGGTACATGTACAAAGACAACACGTTCTTCCAGGTGACGACTATCTGTCTTTCCTCCTCTACTGCTTCCTCCCTATCACCTTGTCTACCTGCCTTCTTCCTCCGAAAGCTGATCTTGCTCAGGTGCCCGAGGACTTTCAGACGCAAGAGGAGCACATCGCCGACATTCACATGCAAGAGGAGGAGGATGAGGGGGACGAGGCTTTCTTGTAGTACCTTTTGTAAATAATCCACATGTTGTAAAAGTTACGATCGTTCAATGCCTGATGAGATGCCCCAAGGCCCATTGTGCGCAGCTCAATATTTCACGGTCATGCTGACAAGAGTCGAGAGACGTCAGTGAGTTGCAGGAAGAAGAGGACGAAGACTAGGAAGAGGAGGGGACAAGGACGAGAAAAGCAGAAGAGGAGGAAGGGGGGGGGAGTAAGAAAGGAGGATGGTGGAGAAAATGAAGAGGAAGAGGAAGAGGAAGAGGAAGAGGAAGAGGAAGAGGAAGAGGAAGAGGAAGAGGAAGAGGAAGAGGAAGAGGAAGAGGAAGCGCTGCGGGAGGAGAATGCAGAAGGAGAACAAGGTAGAAGAGGAACAAACCTTGAAACGCTTTGTGATGTTCTTGACCGTCTTGTGCCCCTCCTGACAAACAAGATGAGACGATGTTGTTACCTAGAGGAGGAGGGAGGAAGCGAACAGCTCGCGGCTCTGATCACCTGAGCTCGAATCTTGTCTCGGTTGCTGTCGTCCTCGAAAGCAATGTTGGTGAACATCAAACATGTATGCATCAGGACTCCCCTATCATCAGGAAACGCCTTCATAGCGTCGTGTACCATCCGTATGATCTTGTCGTCTGCTAGCTTCTTCTGCATGTCTTTCTCTCTCGCTGAGTTTGACATGACAGCACAGCACTTCTCCTGCATGATGGCTGTTGTCGAGAACCGCTCCATAGTCTGCAAGACGAAGTCCAACCCGTCGGACTCGGCAAACTGCCTCCTGTTCCTCTCCATTAGGAGAGCATTGGTCAGGACGGACAGCATCGGAGCCAACAGGTCGACATCATCCTCATGCTTCCTCATCAGCTTCAGCATCGTGTCCATCCCAGACAACTGATGGAACAGGATCTGACTCTCGTCGTCAAGGCAAAGGTTCTCCAACAGCATGCAGGCGAACTTGAGACACTGGCGGTCGGCGAGGAGGGAGAGCATGCTGAGCAGCTTCCGGGACGCGCCATACCTCATGATCTCGATCCGGTGGCTCTTGCTGATCTCGGAGGCATTGTAAAGCTTCTCAACGATGGGCAGGAAGTCTGGTGGAGAGAGCATGTGCTCTTCCATGGCGTCGACTAGTTGCTCCGCCTCCCTCTCGAACGCCTCGTCCACCATGTTGGGCTCGCTCTCTGACGGCTGCTCGTACGTCTCGTTCGCTGACCTGCAGCCGCCTCTCAGGCACAGCCTTGGACAGCATGGCGACCAGCGCCCTCGCAGCTCAGGCGCCCCGCCATGACGAAGTTGTTGATGGAATGATAAAGAGCTCGCGGTCGAGACGTCTGACAAAGTTTGCAGGAGAGCTGCTAGCAGAGCGGCAGATAGAGCAGCCATGGCGCCTCGAGAGCTCTGGAACGTTCTGCTCCTCCCGCCATGGCGCGAGGGGCGCGAGGTCGCGTGTGTCTGCATCGCCCCCTCTATAGGGGAGATCAGATACAAGCTCACCTCAGTGTCTATGACAGAAAGTAGAAAAGACAGAAATTACATCCTACCCATCTGCGCAAGGAAAGATCAGGCGTGCCTGGCCTTCCAGTGACGGTGGGCACGCCTGATCTTTCCTGAGTATCTGACTGGCTTCTTCAGTTGCAGCCATGGCCGTAGACTGCACAACAGCACCTCGGACTGGTAGGAAGGCTCCGGAACTTCGAAACTTGCTGTGGTCTCAGCAGCCAGTGACTGGAAATAAGTGCCATCACTGTCATGCGGAAGCGGCTGCACCTTTCTAGCCGCTCGATTGAAGGAAGACAAGTCATTTCAGAGCTCATGTCAAGAAAGAATTTATCAGAAACAATAGTAAAATTACAACTAGCGTACAATCAGGCGGCGAGTGAATCACACAAGCACTGAGTCTACTGGAATACGAAGCACGACATTTCCGTGGGTGCGAGGAAGTCATAACCACAGAGACTCGGATAGAGGTCCAGCGATGAGGCGTCGGTGGAGATGCTGTCGAATTCAGAAGTCTCGTAGCAAAGATCCAGCTGCTCATTCTGCACCAAGGACGGAGCAACGATGGCTGGCTGGTACTGCGCATCTGGAACGCTTGCGCAGGGCAGCAAGAGGCTTTCAAAGTTGTTGAAAGAGTTGTTGCGCTTCACAGCAAGCTCAGGATCGAAGTAGCAAGCCGAAGTTGTGACCTCGATGGCTGAACGAGGAGAAGAAGCTGCAACCTCTGCGAAGCATGTCTTGACCTTCTTCGTCATGGGGGCACAGTGCGTGAAAGTCAGGTCACTGGGGACGATGGTTCTCTCGAAACGTCGATCCATGTCACTGACCTCGAGCTTGCGCTTGCCAGATCCACTTCTCTCTGATCTGTCACGCGGAGAAGAGGGCCTGGAGGACTTGACGACTGGCTCGAGGAAATGAGAGAACGAGGGCGATGGAACAACTACAGCGATGGAAAGGTTGTCCCCCACGCTTTGTTGCTGAACCACAACGAAGAGCTTCTTGCAGACCTTCTTCCTCTTGGCACATGAGATGGTAAGGGATACGGCTGATCCAATCTGATCCATTGCCAGCTTGATACCATGCAGGAAAGTCCAGGTGGAATGAGTCTTCTCTCCAGTGATGGAATCGATCGTCTTGCCCACGCATGAGTTTCTTTGTAGTTCAAAACGCGACAAGATATTGTCGTCGACTTCAACAATTCTGTGCGGGCGGCTGCTTTCTAGAACCATAAAACCGCAGCAGGCGACCTCTTCGTTGCACCCGACCCTGTCGTGAAAAATCTGGATGGAGTTTGTGCTTGTCATTTCTTTGCTTCGTGGGGAAGAAGGGAAGGAGGTATCAGGGAGATGAAAAGAACTGAGGAGGAGGAGAGGTCGATGAGCGGATTCTGTTTGCTACGCGTGGAGGGCGAGAGTTGGAAGGCAGAGATAGCAGAGGGTAGCGACGCTGAGGTTTATGATGGGGGGGGCGAGAGATATCGATGGCTCACGGGGACAAGTCCACGTGACTCAAAGCGCACATGAATATCGAAAAAACTCTATTTCGGAAAAAGGAGAGATTAAACTCTTACTAAAATAGAGCTTTTCGACATGTATCCCGTCGCTACGTTTTTCTTAAAATAGTTTTAAGTCAAGAGTACGGCTCACGAGACATACCCTCGTGACAAAGCCCTCCGACTTTTTGACTTGGTCCGAAAATGCAGTCAAGGACAGGGGTGGTGCAGCTCTCGATTTGGTCGCTTTTCGGAGGATGAGGCCGATGTGTGTTGTAATTGTTCATTTCAAATTGATGCATCAGATTTCAAAATTTGACATTTCTTTCATGTTTGCCAGTTCAAACATCTCCGTCTCCTTCGGCCGCCACGACTGGTCGAGTGATCACATGGGTCAGTAATGAGGCCATTGTGCCATTGTGGCAAAGTCGAAGAAGATACTTTTCAGGTAATCCCCCGGCCCGCAGTCAAACCATTCACCTGGAAGGATCTCTTTTCGAGATCCCTGCCGACGCAAACTAGGCGATACCCACGTGACTGATACGACGGGGCCATGGACTTGGCGTTTCCAGTCAAAATGCGGAACTTCCGAAGCACGGGGCCCCGGCCTAAACTTCATCTGAGCCTCGCGGACTACAAATCATTCAATCATCGGGTGACTCACTGTACGGTCACTGAGCGCACGGGCCAGGCCCGGGCCCGGCGGGCCGGGGCCCCGGCGGGCCTCAGCCGGGGCCTTTGAATCACAGCCGCAGTGAGTCATTTGATCGGATCGGATTACACATGGCATTGACCGTACAGCCCCGGTGAGTCAGGCCTGGCCGGACGGTGCCACGGTGACGGAGAGTCGGACCGTCACACTGAGCGGCCGCCGCTGAGGCAGTGCGGCAGGCTCAGGCGGCGGGGAGGCCGGGCTGACTGACTCAGTGAGTCCGACCCGGCCCTCGGATGCCCTAGCCGCTGAGGGCCGCGGCGGCGGCCCGGGCTGGCCGGGCCCGGGGCCCCGGCCCTGCCGCTCAGTGCTGCAGCCCTCCTGCCCGGGCCCCCGGCCGGCCCCCGCCGCCGTTTGGCCCGGCCCTGAGTGACACCGCCCGGCCCGGCCGGCGGCCCGGCCCCGTGCCCGGTGCCGCCACCGACCGGGATGATCCGGGCCGATGATCGGAGCCTCCGAGGCTCAGTCGGAGTCAGCACGACTCGGAGGCGGACTCGGTCAGTACTGGTTCGGACCCACGAACCTTGGCGGGAAGGTAGGAAGGAAAGCGGCATGGCAGGAGGGAAGGTGGAGGGGGAGGAGGAGACACACAAGAGAGGAGACGAAGCATTTCTCTTCAATGTTGATTGAGCAGAAGAGAAGAGGACAGGGAAGAGATGAGACAAGCTGGAGCGAGGAGTTGTGGGGAGGACTCAGTTGGTCAGACAGGGTTGGCGGCAAAATATGGAATTGGCCAGCAAGAGTCAGCCTATCCGAAAAGTGCATTAGGAGCCGTCTGACTGATTATCGTCCAGTAAGACTCAGTGAAGTAGCGCGCGGTGGTGGGGGGGGGCGGGGGGCGGGCTGAGAAAGGATGGTTACTCGAAGGGATTCAGGTGGGATCATGGTCATACATACTGATGTATACTCGAACAGCAGTGGAGCAAAGCTCGACAACAATTGCAGCAGGAGCATCATATCCAACTGAACCCTTGGTTGTGAACGGGAGATGGAGGTGAGATATGACTGCATTCTCTTTTCGTGTTACCAGCGAGCGGGATTGCTGTCTTGCAAGATTTTCTGATACGCATCTCACGAACAGATTGAAATCGCGGCCCAGTCGTTTCTCGACTCAGTGGAGAGGCTGAGGGGTCTTCCGCACGCATTTGCCCTTGCTCAGCCTGCAGCGTTCGGTCCTGCACCCACCTTGAATGGCTCGCCGACAAGAGGGATGCCGAACAGGGATAATGAAGAGCAGGAGCAGGCGGTTCGACATTCGGGCGGGGAAGACAGGGGCACGAAACGCCGCGGCCAAGGGCTCAACAGCGCTGCCATTCAAGACGAGATTGAGGCAGAGATTCAGATCAAGATCTTGGGGAAAGTGTTTCACCCTGGTGAGTATCAGATCTCCGACCTCCATGGCGAGCACCTCGCCATCTGCATTGCAGGAGCGACCTGCTACGGACAACTTATCAACGCCCGATGCATCTTGAAGAGGAAAGTGCAAGTGGGAGGGAGGAGCAGCCACGGCTCTCCTACCTTCTGCTCGAGCGAAGAGGGTCTAGCAGAGGACTGCATCCCTGACTCAGACGGGGAGGAGGAGGCTTGCGGGGACAGAGAGTTGGGTGCGCAGTCCTGCCGAGATGATGGGCAGGTCAAGAGCCGAAGGACCCTCCAAGTAACGGACAGGAGGGGTGAGGATGATCGGACTGGGAGGAAGACAGTGGAAGGAACGCGAAGGAGTTTGAACATGAGTCCCTTGGGTCCCCCGGACTGCACGCCAGATCGCGGCCACGGACTGACCCTTCCAACGGCAGCATCCAGAGGAAAAGAAGGGAACCACAGGATAGTCACGAGGGAGCCCTACGACCCTGCTCCTGAGAGTGTGGACCTGTTCGCCTCTGATGCCGAGAACCAGCTGTCTGACAACCCTCGCAAGGCCCATCACGCGTTCCAGATGTCGAGGGAGGAGATGGAGAAGGTTCGGAGTCGATCAGGAGAGCGTCTTCATGCAAGCTCGGCATCGCACTCGCATGCCCGGCAAGACGCACAGGATCATCGTGGGGCTCAGGCTGATGGGACGGCTGGAGGTATGTGAGATCAGGGCAGTCTGTTGGTCTGATATGTCTGCAGTAAAACGACCTGGCAAGAAAGGAGGATGGGGAGGAGTGAGCGCGATTTATGACCTCCCTGATAGCGACGAGCAGCGAGCCGACCGGGATGAGTCTCCCAACATCTTTGAGGACGATACTCCTGCCCTTGCCAGGGCATCCACTGGAATGCAGGAGGAGGAGGACGGAGAGGAAGAGGAGGGGCAGAGGGAGGAGCAGTGGAGAGAGGAGGAGGTATCTGGGAGGGGAAAGAGGACCAGGAAGCAGGAAGTCATTACGACAAAAGCTCAGGCAAAGAGGTCGAAAATCTCTCCTACGATTGCTAGCGACCCTCCTCCGACTATCTCCCAGCTCAGGTGCTCCAGGGAGGCCAGAGGCAGGTGAAGTCCTTTTCTCTTGATGTTCCTGTTCTCCTGCTGATGGGTCAATCTCAGTCACCGAAGGGCCGATGATCGGCTCCTTTCTCCGCCGTCAGCCAGCAGGCAGCTCGGCTCCTGCACGGAGGGGGAGGCAGAGACATCCCCAGGAGAAACCCAGCAAAGCTTGCGCGTTGCTGGGAAAGGGAATAAGACACCTACAGCTGGGAAGGGACATGAAACTCCTTCAGCTGGGAAGGGACTTAAAACTCCTTCAGCTTGTAAGGTGGAGAAGAATGGAGCTGGGAGGGAGCCGAGGACATCTCCAGCAGAGAAGCAGCATGAGGCTTCGCCATCGGCGGATGCTGACGGAGGTGGCGGTGCTCTGGTCTTACTGGAGGCGACTGAGCTGTCTAGCAGGCTCGCCGATGACTCGGAGGAGGGGAAGTCCTACGAAGAAGGGAGCGATAAAGCCGGTGGGATGGGAGGTGGAAGGAGGAGAGCTAGACAGAGGAAGCCTGAGAGGAGGAGGGAAAGGCAGGGAGGGGTAGGGCAAGGAGACGTTGGGGGATGGTTTGCTGGAGTGGCCAAGCCTGTTGACGGGAAGGCTGGAGAGTAGAGAGGGGAAGAAGAGATCGCGATATGGTAGAGCAGAATGGCGAGGACGAAGACTAGGGCAGGGGCGAGAGCGGAGGAGGACAAGGTGGACAGGGACGAGAACAAGGACGAGCAGGATAGAGCAGCAACGAGGGAAAGGGAGGTTTAGGCAGAACGAATGAAAGAACTGACGGAGAGCTAAGAGAAAAAGGAGGGGGGGGGAGAAGGGGAGGAGGGGGAGAAGGGGCAGCAGGGGCAGCAGGGGCAGCATGATGGGGAGGAGGAAGAGGAGCAGAAGCAGGAGCATGAGGAAGTGCAGGAGCAGGAGGTGCATGAGCAGGAGCAGGAGCAGGAGCAGGAGCAGGAGCAGGAGCAGGAGCAGCAGCAGGAGCAGGACGGGCAGACATTGCAGCTTACATGTTTTTGCCTCTAGTGCATTCTTCTCGTCGGGTTTGCTGGAGATGAGCTGGATGACTTGAATCGAAAAGTGAAGGATCTTGGTGGAGAGGTAGCGCAGCATCCGGAGAAATGCTCGCACATAGTCGCTCTCCGGCTGAAGACTTCCTTCAAGCTCCTCGCCGCTCTGGTACTGGGTCACAAGCTGGTCCTCTCCCGTGACTGGGTCGACAAAAGCCACAAGAAGAAGGTCTTGCGTGCTCCTGCCCCTGCTCGTCCTTCCCTCGTACCTTCATGCTGCTCCTCCTCTTCTCCTCTTCTCTCTTTCTGTCTCGTTGCTCATATATGTCTTCCTCCTAATCTCTTTCTTCTCATCACATGGTATTTCTCCTTCCTACAGTTCTCGTCCTTTCCAAGTCGTCAGTGCTTGTTGTCTCCTGTCCCGCCCAATCTTTTCCCTTCCCTGCCTCCTACTCAACTCCTTTCTGCCACGTTCTTCATCCCTTGACCCAGCTGCTCACTCCTCTCCCTCTTTCATCCAGACCTGGCAAGACGAGGAAACCTTTTGGCTCAAAGATCGCCAGACTGAAGAGCGACACAATTTCAACCTGCAGCGTCGCTGCAAGGTCAAGGAGGAGAGGAGGGAGAGGAGGGAGAGGAGGAAGAGAAGGGCACAGGGAAGCAGGATCGTGATAATGAAAAGGACGAGGAGGGTAACGAGATGGACAGAGGAGGAGGAGGAGGAGGAGGAGGAATGGAAGTGGGTTGAGGAGGACTCGGCTGAAAACTACGCAGGAGGCATCTCCTCTCCTCTTCAAGAACATTCACTTCACTCTTTCCAACGACTTTCCGATGAAGGCAGGAGCATGCGGCTGACGCGCTGTGGGAGCTGACGGCTGGCAGGAGGAGGAGGCAAAATTCTTGATCGAGAAGGCTGGCGGGACCCTCAGGAAGAAGGGCACGGAGGGTAGTATACAACTGGTTGGAGCGGTAAGTTCTGCATGTTAATGTCTTCTTTTCTCCTCCTCTCTTGCCTCCTCCTCTTCTTCCTCCAGCTTCAGCTCCAGCCCAGCTCCAGCCTCAGCTCCAGCGATACGTGTGCCCCACCTATCTCCGCTCTCTTCTTCTGTTCCCTGTTGCTAATCTCTGAGAGCAGGAAGGAAAGTCGAGCAAGGCCGGAGGAGGCAGGAGGAAGTTCACCGTAGAGTACGTGGATAAGGAAGAGAAGGCTGGGAAGTGATTCTTTCCTCAGCTTCATCCGAGACTCGATCTTGCAGAACAAGTTGATGTGGAGCAGCGGTAAGGATGGAGGACAGCGAGTTTGCCACTGACGCTGGACGAAGGAGTTGTGGCGTGAAGGAGAAGGACAAGAAGGATTTTGAGCACTGGGAAGGAGGAGGAGGAGGAGGAGGTTGTGGTGGAGGCGGTAGTAGGATGGAAGGTAGTCTGGTATCGTTTGTTCTTCCAGGGTCTCGTTTGTTTTTGAACGATTGAAAGAGTTTTGATCGCTCAACAATCTCAGCTCCAACTCTCGAACCTGGTCCTGAATGTCATGATGGCAGCTGATAACTGAGGAAGAGAAGGAGTGAAAGGAGGAGGAGAGGCAAAAGGAATAGATCAATGGGTAGAGCGTGTGAAGCAGGGGAAAGAAGGCAGAAAAACTGAGCCTGGAGAGGGACTAAAGATCAGGTAATTTACTTCGTTTATTCCCTCTTCCTGCTCCTCCTGCTCCTGCTCCTCCCCTTCATGATTTTCATCATTCTTCACAGCCTAGTAGCGAGGAACACTGGGATCGATCTCCACAGACCAGGCTTCGATTCCTCCCTCAACCTGTTGGATATTGTAAGGTGGAAGAGAGGGGAACGCAGAGAAGCAGGAGAGAAGCAGGAGAGAAGCAGGAGAGAAGCAGGAGAGAGGGGTAGGGGGGGACGAGGAAAGGGAAGCGTCCGGTGCGTAAGGACATTGACAGGGCAAGAGGGAAACTGCAGAGCGAGCAGGAAAGAGAGCAAACTCAAGGTTGAAAAGGGCAAGGGGGGCAGGGGCAGGGGCAGGGGCAGGGGCAGGGGCAGGGGCAGGGGCAGGAGCAGGAGCAGAGGCCTACATTCGTGACTTGCCTCCATCCCCTCGTTCGCAGGTAGCGAACGACTTGCATGCTCCGAGCACCTGCGCATGTTCAGCAGAGAAACGCGGAGCCAAGACAGCAAAAGACTGCAGGGGAGGAGAAGAAAGGAAAAGGTTAAGATAGTGGAGGAGGCGAATACAAATATTGCAGTGTGGGAGAGTGAGGGAGAGCGTGGAGGGAGCGACGTGGACGACAAAGAGGAAGAGGAAGAGGAAGAGGAAGAGGAAGAGGAAGAGGAAGAGGAAGAGGAAGAGGAAGAGGAAGAGGAAGAGGAAGAGGAAGAGGAAGAGGAAGAGGAAGAGGAAGAGGAAGAGGAAGAGGAAGAGGAAGAGGAAGAGGAAGAGGAAGAGGAAGAGGAAGAGCAGGACGTCGAGGCACAAGATCCGGAGTGTGTGAAGTTTCACCGTGGTGGCAATAAACGAGCACAGGCTTGTCCTTGGGAACCTCATCCTGCCCTTGAAGAGTGTGAGCGTCGCAAATACACGAAAGCCAGGACAGTAGAGGAGGGAGAAGATAACGGAAGGAGAGGAGAGAGAAAAGGGAAGAAGAGAAGGAGAGAGCGATTAGATGACAAGCAGAGCAAGGAGAAGGTGAGTGAAGAGGAGGAGGAGAAAGATGGCTAAAAGAAAGAGTAGCTCCAGAGGAAGGGGATGCTGGCGCATTGAAAACAAGAGGAGGAGGAGGAGGAGGAGGAGGAGGAGGAGGAGGAGGAGGAGGATTCAGACGAGGGGGAGCCGAGAAAGCGTAGGAAGAGGGAAAGGAGGAGGTGGAGGAGGTGGGGGGCATACTTAATTTCATTTCGCTCAAAGGGATGTGGATCGCCCCAGGGATGCGGCAAAACTCGAACTCATCTTGTTCTCTGATCCATTGTGCGATAAGAAACGAAGGTGAGAGTGGAGGAAAAAGATCAATGACGAGGAAAGCGGAGGAGGGAGAGAACGAGGACGAGAACAAGGCAAAGGATGAGGACGGAGGACGGAGGACGGAGGAGAGGAAAGGGAAGAGGATGAATATGCATATCAAACAGACCTGACGTCCAGCAGAACAGGCTTCTCGTCCTCGGGCTTGTTCAGCTCTGCCTTGGCCTCCATGACGGAGATCTCGAGCGGGACCTCTGTGACCCTGCAGGAAGAGGCAGTCAGAGGACGTGCCATGCTCTCTTGCTCGCTCACTGGACTCTCCCACTCTGCAAGGTTGTCTGCCCTGAGATGATAGCCTGGTACGCCTGCATCCTGCGAAGAGCATCCATCTTGACCTCAAGCTGCATGCTCCAGGTTAATAGAAGGCAAGAGCCTAGGAGCAGCAGGAGCAGGTGCAGGAGCAGGAGCAGGAGCAGGAGCAGGAGCAGGAGCAGGAGCAGGAGCAGGAGCAGGAGCAGGAGCAGGAGCAGGAGCGGAAGGTACAACAGATTCAAACCAAAACCAAGAAGAAAAGGAGGAGCAGGAGGAGCAGGATGACTCAGAATTTTACCGAGACTTCGTATTCATCGTCGACATTTTCTCCTCCTCCTCCCTTAAAGTATCCGCCGATGTCATTCTTAGCCTGCAGTACAAGTGTATGAGCTAGCTACAACTCATCACCTTCCTCCCCACTCGCGACACCCCCTCCACCGCCACCATCCTTCCCCGCCTCCTTTGTACCTGCAAGGCCGCAGCCCCCTGTCGCAGCATGGGACTAGGCCGGGAGGCGATCTTGTTGAGAGTGAAGGAGAGAGAAGAAGGGAAGAAAAACTTTGAGCAGACGCCAGGAGCGAGCATGAACGCGTCTACCCGCGCCGTCATCATCACCATCCCCGCCATCGCAACCGCCATAGTTCGCAGCATCGCTCGGGCTCTTGGCCTCCTTATGACGGTACTGGGTGGTGGCGGGGAAGAGGCCCCCAAGCGCAAACTAGCGGCCGGCCCGCGGGCCCCGGGCCCGGTCACGGTGGGGCGCCGGGCCGGGCAGGTTAAGAAGCCCCGGGCCGGGCCCGGCCGCGTTAGACCGTTAAACCTGTGACAGCGACTGTCGCTGAGTTACAGTGCCCTGCCGTCACGCGGCGTGCCGCACGGGTGATCGGCCCGGATCAGATCAGACACTGGCCCCCGGGGCCGGCGGGCCCGGCCACTGATCATTGGCATCGCGGACCGTCCCCATCATGGCAGCGGCATCATGATGGCATGCCCGGCCCACTGTCAGCCCGGCTGAGCAAGCGGCTACTCTCAGTGACGGTAAGTCTGCGGCCTGCGGCTGAGTGACACCAGCCCCGGCTACCGCCGTACGCGGCGTCACCACGGTCACCCGGCGACTCGCCGGGCACCGGGTGACGGCACGGGCTGGCAGGGCCGGCAGGCTCCCGGCGAGAGGATCATGGCTTTACTATCATCATCGGATACCGCACGGTTGAAGCCTCAGGCTGAGTGTTGGCGATCAAAGCCTTCAGTGCATCTCAGCAGAAGCCACCACGTGCTGCTTGAAACAGTCCCGTCTCGTCCCGGGCCCACATACGCCGAAGGGTCTCCTGCGATGGTCCGCCATGCTGCAGTTGAAGCAGCAGTAGGAAGTCTTGTTGCCGTACCTGTCCGATCCGCTGCACACCTTACATCGCACCCTAGTGATGGGCTTGAGACTTTTGGAGATTGAGCGGGAAGGAGCAGAGGACTCGAGGTAGTCGTTGACGCAGACGAGTCGATGCGGAAGGTCGTAGTCGCATGCCGAGGGCCCCCCGCCCTGGAGCAAGGTGGTGGTGCCAACACAACCAGCTCCAGCTCCAGCTCCAGCTCCAGCTCCAGCTCCAGCTCCAGCTCCAGCTCCAGCTCCAGCTGGAACGAGCTCGTTTCTGGAAGACGTTGGGCTCTGTCTCACTGTAGCCTCGTTGACATCGCTCTTCAGCAGCTGGAGGGTGAGTCTGCTGAGAAACTCCCGATACTCCACCTCCTGCATCTTGTACACCCTGTACACCCGGAAGGCATCGACTGCCACAGTGCAGACAACTCTCTTGAGCATCCTGAAGGTCCAACTCTCGTTCCTGGCGCCATCGTGATCAAATCCTCCAGTCCTCAGCTCATGGTGCTCGTTGACTGCTCCAGTACATGCCATGTAAGCCTCGCACAACTCTGTCCTCCCTCTCTCCTTCTCCATGCTCGTCCTTCCCGTCCCTACCTCGCAGCCAGTCGTTCTGCCCCATGTCGAGATGAGAACCCTTGTAAGCACACCGCTCCTCCTGTGCTCCTTCCAGGCATGCGCAAGAAAGGTCCTATCCTGCCCCCCGATGCAACGAACGAGTTCTGCGGTCTTGGTTTCCACCAAAGATACATCTCTCTTCCTCAGAGCACGGCTAAGATGACGTCTCGGAGCTCCAGAGTCAACACGATTGACCAGGGCGGTGAAGAATGTTTTCCGCTCCAGCAGGGCCTGAGCTGTCGACACGGTTGCGAACTTGGGGTCGCAGTAGATCACGCGGCCATGGTCGAGGTAGTGTCGTGACATGTGAACGAGAAGGCGCGTCATTCTAGGAAGCTCGCTAAAGTTTTCATCCTCCACAACCTCATCGTCCAGGAGCTGCAGGTGCAGGACAATACCGTAGGTGCACTCCACCAGGCACAGCAGCTCATCTTCGGGCATGCGCTGGCGGCCGAAGCGCAAAGGCACTGCAGGAGCCCTCTTAGAGCTCCTTCCCTGCTGAAAAGTGAGGGAAAGAGGACAAGAGGGCAGGACTCGCAAGTTCCAACCTGTGCTCTCGCGTGCCATCCTCCCTTCGTCTCGTCCGTCGACAGCTCGCTGCCTGCTGATATCGTCTCCAGCCTCTTCCTGTTGAACGCGTCCAGCAGCGGCCGGATCTGCGCAGCCTTGCTCAACGCATGCTCCACTTCTTGCGGCCAGAGTCTCAGGTAGCACTTCCACTGCTCGAACCGCACACGGCTGACGCCGAAACGTCTCCCGAGGTCATGGGGGGGGAGAGCACCGACGTCTCGGCCAACCCAGAGGCTGCCGTAGCTGCTCCAAGGTGTGAGCACCTGATAGTAGAGCACTCCTAGAAATCTCATCCACTCGTGCTGGGAGAAAGGAGCTACGTCATCTGGGAGATTCTCGTTGGTCCAGACAAGGCAGGAGGGGGCATCGAGACCCACGATGAAGTCGAAAGGAAGGAGGAGCTTCCAGACATCAACTTCAGCGCTGGAGCTTGCTTGCGCCATGTCCAGCAGAATGTTGAGCGAAGTCTCTTCCATCTTGTAGCCAAGCTCCTCCCTCTGGTCCTTGACCGTGTCCTCGTCGCACATGCGCCACTCCAGCAGCTCTCCGTGATGGCTCAGCGTCAGCCCTTGCGTATCCTCCGAAAAGTCTTCCTCCTCCGAGTAAGACGTGTCGGTGTACTCCTCAAGGCATCGACGACTCTCCTGGAGGCAGGGAGCTTTCTCTCCTCGAGGATCTGCTTCCGTGCTCGCAGTTCTGCGCATCTTTGTCCTCGAATTATGGGTGGCATCCTCGCCACGTCGAACGGATTTCTGCATGCCTGAGGGAGGGAGGGAGGGAGGGAGGGAGGGAGGCAGGGAGGGAGGCAGGGAGGGAGGCAGGCAGGGAGGCAGGCAGGGAGGCAGGCAGGCAGGCAGGCAGGGAAGGAAGGGAGGGATATAGAGAGAGAGAGAGAGATGGAGGGAGGGAGGGAGGGAGGGAGGGATGGAGGCAGGGAGAGAGGGAGGGAGAGAGGCAGGCAGGCAGGAAAAGTACAAGGGCAAAGGCGGGGGGCAGGAGCGAGCGGCAAAATGAAGTATCCGCGAAAATATCTGAAAGTATCCGTAAATCCGGATACTCTCGGATATTTTGATTGACCCTTCGCCGCCACCATGCTCTTCGCGCTGGTTCCTGTTCGCATGCTCGGTGAGGAATGGAGGGGGAGAGAGGGGTGGTGAGAGGGTAAGAGATCGAGCATGTACAAGCATGCAGCTGAAGAGAGGGAGAGATGGGATGAGGATGCTGATGGTTTAGACAAGGGCCTTAATGTAAGAGGTGGTGTAGAGAAGTACAGATTTGGCATGCAGCGAAGGAGCATGAGGTAGATGATCTGAGAAGTACATGATATATTGAAATGATTTCATTGCACGGATTGTGTCGCTGGGGATGAAGCTTGCAACCCCGATGTGTTCGACAGAGCGATGGTTAAAAACGGAAACGTCCCTGGGGAAGTGGACTCTTTCTAGACAACACATGTTTTCAAGTCAGTCACACTCGACCGTGTCCACACATGTGTAGTGACTCTAGTATTTCCACAAGAGAGTATGATCCTCTTGTCAAGTATCAGACCAGATCCTAAGTTCGCAGAGGGAGGTTGGGGGTTGCAGGAAAACTAGCAGCAAGTCAGAGTATGTCCAGCGCATGCGATGTTGTTGGTAGCATGGAAGTCAGGAGCTCTTGTATCATCTGTGTGACACTGCTGAAGGAATGGGCCCTGAATTCTACAACAACATGGAGGCAGTCAACAATGCTATCGGCGCTGAGGACGACAAGGTCAGTGCCAAGTTGAGTAGAACAAGTCTGAGCGAGCGTGTAGGCATGGATGTACAACAATCCCAACGCCCCAGCCAACGCTGTTGGAGTCGAAGACGCGAAGGTCAGTGGCAAACGTGTCAAAGGGAGCGCAGGAGAAGGTTGGGGAGGAGGAAGAAGACCGGGAGAAGAATAAGGAGGTTGAGTCGATTAAGCAGGATGGAGGGTAGACCGGGAGAATCATGAGAGTGCTCAGAGGAATGTGAGGTGTGGAGAGATAGAGAGCGTGAGGATGCGAGTTGTGGAGGTTGAGGAGGGTATTCGGAAGGGGAGTGACTTGAGATCAGATCGCAATCTACAACAACACCTTCACCCCCAGCAACTGTGTGGGAGGAAGCGAGCAAGGATGCAGCCCCTTCGCTGTGGCCCCCCGTGCCATGTTCATGTAGAGCAGCTGACATAGCAAAGTTCATTGGAGGTTGTCGTTACCCCTGACATCTGCTCGGTGCGCCATGCCAACCCTGACCGCCGCAAGGTCCTCTTTGTCCTCTTATCCGAGGACGTCAGTGAAGGCCTGCAAGCGGACTTCAACCCGACAATCCTCCTCTCATAACACGTGCGACTTGTTCCACACGACCCTTCCCCCCCATCCTCTCCTCCTTGCCAGCAGCTTCCCATTCTCATCCTCATCCCCACCATATGTCCCATCACCTGCAGGTAGCTGACGGTAGCTCCCACCAACCCGAGCATAGAGCCGAGGACGGCGATGACTGACGAAACGAGTGAGAGGAGGAAAAGCAAGCGGAAGGGGAACTTGCCTTGAGAGAGGTAGTACTTGTTGTCGTACTTGAGACCCTTCCTCTTCTTGGCTGGCAGCTTCTGGTCTTGCTCAACCCTGAAGACAAGTCAGTCCTCCAAGACAGAGATCCTTTGCCAGATCACAAGGTCTTGGTAGCGCTCATGTGCATCAGAGCTGGGAAGACGTAGATGATTCCACTGCCCAGCAGGGCTCCTGCTCTCAACCGTCAGCGAACCATGAATTCGCGACTGGCCGTTACCTGCAAAGGCAGCCAAGAAACCGAGGTCGCGCATGACCATCGCAATACCGGTGGTTGCAACGACGGTAACAACTGCAACAGCGTCCTGGCTCTCTTTGTCAGCAAGGCAAGGCAAGGTTGTTTTCTTTTCACCTTGGCGGCTTGTGAAGGATTCTTGACTCCCGCAAGAGCAAAGGCTCCAGTGCGGAACCCGTTGAAAGCGAGTGGATAACTGCAAGATATCAAGATTGATGTTATAACCTATTTCAGTTACGCACCCGAACAAGATCGAGGCCGTAATGGCAAGACGGCCCCAGACTGCAAGGTTGTCTGATGTAGCATAGTTGTTGAGGATCAATCCCTTCCAGGAGGCAAGACATCTTTCGAGTGAGCAAGCTCAAACAGATGCTTCACCAAACACCTGGGAAACTCCTCCAAAGGTCAAGAAGCCAGTCGACATGATGAGGCAGTTGATGATTCCTGCACAAACAGACCGACTCAGAGATGCAATGCGGTCGATGAGACAGATGTCAAAGTGACCGGCAGCGATGAAGGCGGGATAAACAAGCTTGTTGAACTGCTGAACAGTCCTGCAGAACCAGAATCAGCAAACAAGTCACTTGCAAGGCTTGCACACACTTGGGAATCATCTGGTGGAAGAACTTGGGAGCATCATAATGGGCATGATAGGCGGTGTTGAGGGTCGCCATGAGGATAAGTGCCTGCACCAGTTGTCAGTGACGTGCGACAGATCCGAGGGATTCATTCATCACCTTGATGGCTTCAGCGCTGTTTCCAAACGATGGCTTCCTGCAGCACAATTATTCTCTCCTTCAAAACTGTTCTGTTTGTCGACATACTGAGCAAGCTCCTTGAAAAACTCGCCTCCCTTGGCGTACGATCCCTGCTCGCCAAAATCACCAGGCACCAATTGTAGGAGGGAAGGTTTACTTGGAAGTATCTCAACGCCATAAAGACAGTCGTGTAGAGAACGCCCATGACTCCTGTGCACGTCAAGTTAGGGATGCCCGTCGCACGTTCCCATAGGTGGTCACCGAGCATGCTCGTGTATGAGAGCGCGGCCAGAGACCTCAAGCTGCTCAACCGGTCAGTCACTGGGCCTTGGGCGGAATGACAAGTATGCGACTGACAGGCAAAGAGGCAGAAGAACGACCTGGAACAAAAAGCTCAGCAAGGATACCAGCAGAAACGACTACTCACCGCACTGATAGCAGCAAGCAGGTTGTTGCGCTCCGCAGCCCAACCACGCACCTGCGAAAGGTGGTGAGTGAGACTTTGAAAGGGGGTTAGGAGAACGCTTACTCCGAGAGACTTCATGAGATCATTGCTGAGATCTCCGATGATGATGGAATAGCAGATACAAGCCACCTGACAACACACTCTCTCAAAACACTTTCAGAAAGCTGAATATTACCATGGTCTGGCTGGTGCACGCCATACCCGGGATCCAGGCAGTTGCGGTGCTGATGGACTTAGCCCACGCTTCCTGTGCTCGCACCATGTCAGACATACTTGAGAGCTCTCTCAAGTCTCACCTGATAGTTGTGGGCATCCACCATCCCACACACCTGACACATGAGTCAAACGGACTGGAAACCACTGCAGCAAAGGCACCTCGCCGATCAGAGCGTAGCAATATCCGCTGAGAATGGCAAAAGAAGCTGAAAGAAGCTGCAGCAAGGAAACGCTCAGTCGTTCGCTTAATTCAATCGCGGCTCACCAAGGCAGGAGCAAGCATCTTGGGGTTGTTGGTGAAACGAGCTACCGACGAGGAAAGGGACAGAACTCCAGAGCCAACGATCGCCTTGAAGAGGTAGAAGATGAAACCAGTGACATCCTGTTCTCCACCTCCTCTGAGGGGCGCCAGAGCTGATACATGCTCACTTCGACCACACATCAGAGGATTCATCCCTACCCTGGACACGGCGAACGGATCCATGCTTCAAACTTTCGCCCCTTTGAGCGAGAGAAGGATGACGCTGCCTAGTGTCAGGCAAACCTGATGGGATGGTGGTGGTTGGGACATGAAGCCCGTGGACAGCAGCCACGCAGGCCAAAGTAAGGCCCAAGAACTGCAGGAAGCCTGTCAGACGAGTTGCGACGGTCGCCTTCCTGCTCACCAGACTGGATCGCATGACCTCGACTTCTCCTGTAGCAGAACATACATAAGCCACTCAATCATGCTCATAATGATGAAAATGCTTGTGGTGCAAAAGGATTCATCTCGCGGACAAGCACAAGAGTTCTGTATCCTCGCCTGCGATGTACTTGAGGACTGACTGTTTCAGCTACTCGGCCTTTCACTCTATTCACGCACGATCCAGTTAGGATACAATGTCGATCTTCATCTAGACATGTTGTTCGCCTCAGGATCCACTACCTGTCGCGTCCTCTCATTCGCTGGTACCCTGGCCTACAATGAAAATGCTTTTTCCTACTCATCACTGCGAACCCTGGATGAGAGATAAAATCTATGCCCTTTCCGCCACCATCAAGCAAGCTCAGCAGCAGCATCGCTTCCTGTACTGGCGATTCTCCTCCAAGGCCCCTCATGAGCGCAAGAGCTCGCGGCCGCTCTGCATCGTGCAGCCATGAAGCGGCGGAGGATCGATGGGGTACTTCTCGAAGAGGAAGGACAAGGGGTGGTCCGAGTCCTTCGAATAGATGGACCCCTCATATACCCCACTTTTGTACCGGTCTGTATCTACTAGTGATTCGTTTGTAGGTGGGGTGGCCGTGGCAGGGGAATGTGAGGAAGGGATCTCTGTTCCAATGGATGCTGGCGTACACTGAAAAGCTTCTAGAGAGGAAAACACGCCAAGTGAGATACAACTATCTCACAGCTCTTGATTTTCAGTACTTGATATCATTGTATTTGAATTTTCGAATTACATTGTAATATTTCAACGATCAAACAATTTTCGAATTGAACAAATACGGCGGGCGGCGGCCGGGCCGGGCCCGGAGGAGTCGATGCGAGTCGGACGGCCGCGGGCGTCACCGAGTCACTGACCGCCGGGCGGCCGGGCCGGGCCGGCACGGTTCACGGTTGCGGCGCCGCACTGCGGCCGCTGTACGGTCGGCGAGCCTCGGAGTCACTGCACCGCCGAAGCACGGCCCCAGTTCCCGAGTCCGACGAGTCCGGTCCCACGGACCGTGTCGGGACGGTCCGACGGTCGGCCCGGACTCGCCGTCGAGGTAGTCCTGCGGCGGAGTCCGACTGCACTGAACTCCGGACTCGAATCACAAGTTGGGCTGGCCGCTGAACTTCACATTGAACAGTGGCCATCATGCGGCATCGGATGCTGGCCTGACTCCGCCGCACGGCCGACTGTCCGCCGGGTCCGACACTCACGGTCACGGTGTGACAGACTCGGGGGCCGTGGCACGCGGCAGCCGCTGGCCGGGCACGGCAGCCGCTGTACCCGGTGACCGTCCGGTCGCGCGGCGCCGGCGGCCCGCGGCGAGCCTTCGGAATTCCGATCACGAGCCGCCTCAGTGCCACCGTTGTTCACCGTCCGAGGCAGGTTTGAAGTGAGAACAAAATAGCAAATATACTTCCGAGTTTACTTACTAATTCAAGTTAAGTTAAAGATCCGACGGGAGGGCCCGAGTACGGTACGAGGACAACTGTCAGGCCCTGAGAGTCGAGGAGGCTTGACCCTGACTCCAGTGACACTGTCGCACAGGCCACTGAAACGGCGAGAAGAGAAAAGACAGTCACGGAGAACTTAACTCAAACCGTCCCAAGTTCGGCTGCCGGCCGGCGGTTGGCCGGGCCGCAACCGCCGGCCGGGCCGCGTCCCGGGCCGCCCCTTGCCGAAGCAAACTTGAAACTTTGAAATATGGCAATAATTCAGCCCGCTAGTAGTGCCAGCCTTGCCATGATGGAATGATCAGGGCCAAGATTTAACAAAGATCATCGATCGGATCGTCAAAGCCTGCCGTCCGAGTGTCCGGTATCGGAGCCTGGCACTGAAAACCGTGGCCCCGGCGGCTGGCAGTAACTTGCAGTGACGGTGGCAAGTAACCTTGAAAGAAGCCTTCAAGCGATGCTGTCACTGGCCAGCTGTGGCAGTCACGTAGCAACCGGCGGAAAAAATCATCATGTTTCTAACAATTTCAGGCTTTCCTGGGTCCCTTGACTGCAAATATGATGATGCAGCCTGATCACTTGGTAGTAAGATCCATAACAGTTGTGTCGACTGACACCTGAGTCTGTCCAGGCACTTTAACCTTCAGGTTCTCGAGCTGCAGCTTGAAGAACAAGAAGAATGTGACTCTTGACTTGAAAATTTGATTCCATAGCACTCTTCTCTTCTATGCCCGCGTGCCATCCCTTCCTCCGTCCCCTCCCTCCACCATGCGCTGTATACCTCTCCCCTCGCACACCCCCGTCTCCTCGCTCAGCCCTCCTCCCTCCGCTCCCTCCGCTCTCCTGCTCTCTTCCTCCATCCTCGCGCTCGTCGCAGCGTCGCCCTTGCGGAAGTACCTCCGGACTCTCGGGCGCCCGTCCTTGGAGCCCACGGGCCTCCCCGGCCCTGCCCGGCGTCTCGCCGGCCTCTGCGCCAGCTCCTCTGCCGTCCACAGCGCCGTCGTCGCTCGCGTCCACGTCCGCCGGCTCCAGACGTCTCGCACGGTCTTGGGGCTTGTGCCGTACTGGAGGGCGACCTCAGCGCTTCGCCGGGAGAGGGAGAGCTTGTCGAAGGGGGGGGGAGGCTTTTCGCGGTAGATCTTGTAGGCGAGGTCGGCAGTGAGGACGCGGGGGCGGAAGAAGCCTTGGGGAGGCTGCGGGAGGGGAGGGGGACTGGGGTCTTGGGTGTGGAGCATGCCGGGAGGTCTGGGGAAGGGATGAAGGGGAGGAGGAGGAGTCTTGCTGACGAGCTGCATGCTTGCAGAAGTAACAGGTATCTGACAGGTCTTGGTCATCTTTGGTGGTGGCGTTATCCAATTTTTGCTGATTGAGCAATGATAACAGTTTTTGCAAGGAAAAATTAGTAGCCTTGTTATGTTGATTGGTTTGTCTTGTCACTCAGCAGATTCTCTTATTACATGATGGTGCATACTGAACGAGTTTCCATCGACATCTTGAAAGGCGGTGATAGATAGGGGATGCAAGCTCGGGAACCTGATGCAGAGGCGGGGACAATCTCTAAGAAAAAAAAAAAGGTCGGTATCGTGACATAAAAAATTAATATTTTTCGTATTCGAAAAGTTTTTGTTTCCATGGGGATAATTGGCCCTCTTAAAGTTTTTTTTTGTCATGGAACAGAACCACTTTGTTCCGAGAGCTGTAGACTATGTGTTCTCGTTTTAGTTCAACAACATGACACTCAACAAGTGAACCAAGACAGAATCATAGAAGAACTAAAGATTAACGTCTCCCTGGCTCGCTTTCGAAGTAAAGCATCAAGTTGAACTCGCCAGACGCAGAAATCTACTATTGGACGTCGATCGTTTGTGCATCAATGATTCTCATAATGTTTACTCAAATTCATGTATGAATGCAACAAACCTTCTGTTTGAAATCAGTCTGAGTGACCTCTGGTCCAGCGAATAGTCCACCAAGTTCCCACACCTCCATCCCACGATGCTCAGCGTGCTCCATCTCCTCTCCTGCTCTAAAACATCTTCCTTCCATACCTTCTGTTCTTATCCCATTCCCCAGAATCAACGCCCTTGAGGCGTTCATCACTCCTCCCACGTATCCTTCCCTTCTCTCTCCAAGTGCCCTCCCTTCCTCCGTCCCCTCCCTCCACCAAGCGCTGTATACCTCTCCCCTCGCACACCCCGTCTCCTCGCTCAGCCCTCCTCCCTCCGCTCCCTCCGCTCTCCTGCTCTCTTCCTCCATCCTCGCGCTCGTCGCAGCGTCGCCCTTGCGGAAGTACCTCCGGACTCTCGGGCGCCCGTCCTTGGAGCCCACGGGCCTCCCCGGCCCTGCCCGGCGTCTCGCCGGCCTCTGCGCCAGCTCCTCTGCCGTCCACAGCGCCGTCGTCGCTCGCGTCCACGTCCGCCGGCTCCAGACGTCTCGCACGGTCTTGGGGCTCGTGCCGTACTGGAGGGCGACCTCGGCGCTTCGCCGGGAGAGGGAGAGCTTGTCGAAGGGGGGGGGAGGCTTTTCGCGGTAGATCTTGTAGGCGAGGTCGGCAGTGAGGACGCGGGGGCGGAAGAAGCCTTGGGGAGGCTGCGGGAGGGGAGGGCGACAGGCTGACGGGGCGAGGTCTTGGGTGTGGAGCATGTCGGGAGGTCTGGGGAAAGGGAGGGGTTGGGGGGGGAAGGGATTGGTGTGGAGCATGAGAGAGGGATCAAGGGCTGGAGGGGTAGATGGCATGGGGTAGACGCAAGGTGTGAGGAGGGAAGGGAGGTGGTAGAGGAGTGTGGAAGTCGAGGAACTGCACCAGGGTAAATCTTGTCTGAGGGGAGGGGGGGGGAGGGGGGATAGGGATTAAAAGGGCCAGCTGTCGAGTTTTGCCTATCAATCGCAACGGTTGGTCCCAGTTGGTCACCTGACTCGCTGCTCTGCCAATTCCGTTACGATATACCGTCGATACCGTTACATCTCCCATCCAAAAAGAGCGATTTCAAACGACGAGCAATACTGTTTCCGACGAAGAAGTTTGCGTCAGAATGAGAAGGATGTACAACAAAATGGCGCGCAGAGCTGGCTGCTGCTAAAATGCAAGGCACGTTTGGAGTCCTACGCTGAGATATGGTCAGTGAACAGCAGATTTCATGTCATCAGCTGTGTAGGAGTCAGAGGATATGATGGAGGAAGTTGATAGAAAGTATTTCTACGATCTCTGGTGCAATCGAACGCAATAGGAAAGAGGGTCTGTGCTTAACAATCAGACTTAAACTCTTGAGTCTTGTAGATCTGCAATACATCAGCACCAGCTAAGGTTGCTTGAACGTCATTCCTGCTCTCATCACGTTTACTCTGCTCTGACTTCTCCTCAATTACATGCAGATAGCAAAGCTGCTTCATCTTGAAACTTAAACTTATTGTTAATAATTGCTATTCCTTCTTGCTGTAGCATTGCCAGGCCGTGTACATGATCATCTGACTTCAAGTTAGCAACCTGTCAACTTTGGAGGTGTCATTTACTTCAAGGAAACGTAGTGGTGTGTATTCGCTCCATCGCAGCAGGTTGTAATCTGGTTGGCATTCACTTAGCATTGGAGTTGAGAAAACAACCCTGGCTTCAGACTAGGAGTGATCCTGATTTGATTGCAGGTCCACAAGCAGCGCTGCATATTTTTGAATGTGCTCTACTTGAGCATGATTTTTGTCTCTTGACGAGGTTTTGTGGGGCAAATGAACATACCTGGTTGAGAGTTGAGTGGAGATACACTGAAACGATATGATCAATGTTCTCGTATTTCTTATAACATAAAACTTGAAATTGGTAGGCAGTCTCGGTTCCTTCCTGAAAGATAACCCCCTTCCCAGGTAAATACTGTTGCACCGCATCAGTTGGCCAGTGAAAAAAATGTAAAACAAGAGTAACGGATGCTCTAAGACAAGGAATCTCCCCGCTGCTCATCCTTTACATGACCTCTGGCCTTAACACCTTGATCTCTCATTCTCCGCACGCCGTCCCTTCCTCCGTCCCCTCCCACCACCATGTGCTGCATACCTCTCCCCTCGCACACCCCCGTCTCCTCGCTCAGCCCTCCTCCCTCCGCTCCCTCCGCTCTCCTGCTCTCTTCCTCCATCCTCGCGCTCGTCGCAGCGTCGCCCTTGCGGAAGTACCTCCGGACTCTCGGGCGCCCGTCCTTGGAGCCCACGGGCCTCCCCGGCCCTGCCCGGCGTCTCGCCGGCCTCTGCGCCAGCTCCTCTGCCGTCCACAGCGCCGTCGTCGCTCGCGTCCACGTCCGCCGGCTCCAGACGTCTCGCACGGTCTTGGGGCTTGTGCCGTACTGGAGGGCGACCTCAGCGCTTCGCCGGGAGAGGGAGAGCTTGTCGAAGAGGGGGGGAGGCTTCTCGCGGTAGATCTTGTAGGCGAGGTCGGCAGTGAGGACGCGGGGGCGGAAGAAGCCTTGGGGAGGCTGCGGGAGGGGAGGGCGACAGGCGGACAGGGAAGGGTCTTGGGTGTGGAGCATGTCGGGAGCTCTGGGGAAAGGGAGGGGTTGGGGGGGGAAGGGATCGGTGTGGAGCATGAGAGAGGGATCAAGGCTTGGAGGGGTAGATGGCATGGGGTAGACGCAAGGTGTGAGGAGGGAAGGGAGGTGGTTGAGGAGTGTGGAGGAGAGGAGAGGTTGCTTGGTGTAAGCCGAGGGGCAAAGAGCCCAAGGGCGCTGAGCCAAAAAAAAGGGGGGGGACTAAAAGGAGTGGGGGGACGGACCTTACGAAAAGGAGCTTTTTGGTGAGTTGAAAGGGCCAGCAATTTTCGGCTACAACTCTTTTTGCACGTCTGTAGTAAAAGGGCCAGGTTACCGTGATAGACGATCCGATCTGACTGCCAGGCTGGCTTCAACTGTCAGTCTCAATTTAGCTACACTAAAAAAAACCTCAGTAGCCCGCACCTTTCAACCTGGCAAGTTTCGAGTTTGTCCCGAAGTGACGGTCAGTCAGTGGCCAGTGCAGTGGGCGGGCCCAGGCTCAGCTGGCTCACAGTCACCGGGTCCGTCCGATCAACGTGGCACCCCCGGCGGACGATCGGACAGACCGTATCATACAGTAGTATGGCCGCCGGGCGGCGGGCCACCCGGCCCCCATTTGCCGCAGCCTCGGCAGTGCACTGCAGGCTGGGACGTGACGCCCGGCCGTTCAAGTCCGCCGGTCCGGGCCGGGCCGATCCGTACTGTACCGTACTCACGGTAGTACTTCCGAGTCAAGTTCCGGCGCCGCACTGGCAAGTCCGGTGGTCCGATCGAGCTTCCGATTAGGCTACTGTCAGTGTGTGCCACGGTGCCCGGCCAGGACACGGACCGTACGGTCCCCCGGCCCCCGGTAAGCTTGACAGTGACTCACTGTCAGGTCCTAGCCTCCCCGCGGCCGGGCCGCCGCCCTCGGCGCCGCGACCGGCCCGGGGCCGGCCGCGGGGGGCAAACCCGGAGCCGGCGGCCCGGGGCGGCGGCCCCCCGGCCCCCCCGTCACGGCGTCCTGGGCCGGCCCGGGCTCCTCGCGGCCGCGGCGAGTCGGATCGGACTCCGGGACTCCTGCCGGGCAGGGAACGCCGGTCACTGCCGTGCCCTGGCCGGGCCCGGTACGGTACTGGTAGGCTTGGTCACCTGGCTCGCGGCCCGCCCAACTGGCAAAGCGGCCTGAAGCCGGGTCCGAGTGTGACCCGGCCCTGACGGTACGACGGTACAGTACGGATCTTCTTTACTCAAAGTTAAGTTAAAAATCAGTACGAGGACAATAATGAGAGTCGAGGAGGCTTGACCCTGACACTGTCGCACAGGCCAAACGGCGAGAAGGGAAAAGACAGCGAGAACCAAACCAGGATACTATCACTAGTGTCGGACAAATTGATTACTGGCCAGAAGTTGGGGATGAGGGCTACACTGCTTGTCAACGGAAATGCCTGCGATCGAGCCGTTCGACCGACCGCAAGGTGACGTCCGATCTCCTGCTCCTGCTCCTGCTCCTGCTCCTGCCGAAGCCTTCTCCTGCTCCTGCTCCTGCCGAAGCCTTCTCCTGCTCCTGCTCCTGCTCCTGCCGAAGCCTTCTCCTGCTCCTGCTCCTGCCGAAGCCTTCTCCTGCTCCTGCTCCTGCTCCTGCCGAAGCCTTCTCCTGCTCCTTCTCCTGCTCCTTCTCCTGCTCCTGCTCCTGCTCCTGCTCCTGCCGAAGCCTTCTCCTGCTCCTTCTCCTGCTCCTTCTCCTGCTCCTTCTCCTGCTCCTTCTCCTTCTCCTTCTCCTTCTCCTTCTCCTTCTCCTTCTCCTTCTCCTGCTCCTTCTTCTTCTCCTCCTCCTTCTCCTGCTCTTTTTCCTTCCGAGTCCTGCTCCTGCCCCTGCCCCTGCCCCTGCCCCTGCCCCTGCCCCTGCCCCTGCCCACAGTTCTTCTGCTCCATATCCTGATCAACCCTTTTCCCACCCGCCACTCTCTCTTCCTAATTTCTCCTCCTGTCGCCCCAAGTCCTCTGATGATCTTCATTGCTGCTCACCTTCCCCTCTTCCCTCCTGCTGTTATCTCGCCTTTGTCCTAACAGTCTCTTTCCTCATGTCTTTGCTTTCTGCACTCCGTACTCACTACTTTGACGCACCTCGTTTCAGTCGATGGCTCGGGGGATGCGTACAAGAGCTGGAAGACAGACGAGGAGGAGGACTTTCTGTTCGAGAGGAGCGTGAGGCCGGACCGAGCCGAGCCCGTGACATCTCCGCTGGTGGATGAGAAGCTGGAGGACAGTCCGAGGGAGAGGAGCAAGAGAAGGTAAGCACGAGGGAGAGTCGACCAGAGGAGGGGAATGAAGACAGAGGGTAGCAGGGTACAACCTTCATCCTTCGCCATCAGGCTGCATCCGACAAAGAGGAAGGAGGAGGAGGAGGCTGTCTGCCGTTGTCCGGGCTGTGGGGCCAACGTGAGAAGGCCATGCTCTTGCAATCTTTGGGCTGACAGCAGCATGCAGATCTCCCTGCTCAATCCGCTGCAGGCCAGGGACATCGAAGTTGCGCAGCGGCAGGTGCTGCGGGCAGTGATGGTGGAGGATGTAACGCCACGAGGAAACTCGACAAAGTTTCGGGTCATGCTGGATCGGGAGGGGAGGAGGAGGAAGGATGAGGAGGAGAGGAACGCGAGGCTGCTTGCGGAGCAGGGGAGGCTGAAGAAGCAGATCCAGTCTCTGGGGGATGAGCTGGAGGAGGCCAGAAAGCAGATCGAATTCTTTCAGGAGCAGGCAAGACGGATGGAACAAAACTTTGACCACGTCGTTCTCCTTTCCCGCCCTGCCACAGCCAACGCTCAAGAAGAGATCGTTCCCTTCCCTTCCTCCTCCTCTGCCGCTGCTGTCTCCCTCCGCCCTTGCAGCGGAGCTCTGCTTGCTCGGAGGGAGGGGAAGGAAGGCGGGAGGGACTCGACAGGCTCTTTCCTCTTCACTCCTCGCACAAGCGACGCTGCTGTTCTCTTCCGCCGTCACACGGGCTCGCAGAAACCAAAGACGAACATGAGCAGCATACGACCAGGTCCCAAACGTCTCCTCCTCCTCCTCCTCCTCCTCTGTTTCTCCTCCTCCTCCTCCTCTGTTTCTCCTCCTCCTCCTCCTCCTCCTCTGTTTCTCCTCCTCCTCCTCCTCCTCCTCTTTTTTCCTATTACTTCTTCACCTCTCCCCTCCTGGTCCTCGTCTCCTTTATTCTTGCTTCCCTCTACCTGGCCCTTCTTTCCTCTTCCTCTTCTTCGCATCTTTCTGCTATCTTGTAAATTCTTCTCGCCTCCTGTTTGCTCGCACTTGCAGTTTTCAAACTTCCTTTTCTGACTTTCACTTCAGCGTCGTCACGTCCTGGCGAATCAACCGTCAAGGTGATTCAAATCAAAGCATTGCTGAAATATTTGAAGCTGATGTCAATTCTTTCTCCTTTTCTCCTTTCCTCTCTCTTCCAACCCTCCTTTGTCATTATCTCCTCCTCCTCCTCCTCCTCCTCCTCCTCCTCCTCCTCCTCCTCCTCCTCCTCCTTCTCAGCCGCCTGATGCTGTCACTGCTCCTCCTCCTGCTCGGCGCCCAACCACCGCTCGAGCCCGTCCCTCTTCCTCCTCCTCAACCCCCCGTGAAGGCGCTGCCTCTACTCCCCTCCACAGACGATTCGTCGTGTCCTCCTTGCAGCAGCAGTCTCCAACACCATCCCCATCCTCATTTGGTAGCAGGTTTGTATTTCTTCCTTGTTCTCCATCA